CTTCGCATACATCGCAAAGCTATCATAAAACAAATTTCGCGTTCGTCCGTCTTGGCTACGGTGTCGTGCAAAAACCCCCGTTCAGCATGCGTGAAATTATAGCAAGTGTAAACACACGAATCGGATATGGGTCACAATTAAAAAGACCGTGTAAACAGACGGTCCAAAAAATCGGATATAGGCAACAAATCGGAATTAGGCATCAAGACCTGCAGTGTAAACGGGGCCTAAAAGAACTAAATGCACATTCTGACGAGGTTTTGAAGCATACACTTTCATTATTAACCGAACTCACCAAACATTTTGAGGGTAAGTACTGCGAATTTGTGCAACTCAGTCATCTTCCAGGAAGGTCTAGAACATTCTTACAGCATGTATAATACCAGTCAAAAGTCGATCTTGCCCCACAAATACACTGTAGGAAAAGAAATGATGCTTTATTTGTCATTTGTAAAAGTAGTTACAATGTTACATTGCATCATGTGTATGTTTCTTGTGATAATTGTATTTATTCTTGTTACTGTAGATGCACCTTAATTTATACTTCCACCTTAAACTGTACTTCTGATCTGTACTTCTGTTGTGTTAATTTGTGTTTAGTAAAAGGACAGAGTATGATTTTCATTGCATAGTGGAACTCACTGTTTACTGTGCATATCACTAACTCATTACCCCACTGAGCCACACAATGTATGCTGCACACTACAAACAGCAAATGCCACAGTAATACTGAAGGTTCTGATAGCTTTGTGAGTGGACAAAACCGTATGATGTCTGCTGCTACCACTGTTGCGTTAACCTTTACAGTCTGTGGCCTGCAACTCCAGCTTCAATCCTCCTAAGAGTCCAAGTCCATCTCCTTCCACTTTACGTTGTCTATTCAGTAAACGACATCATTCCTGCAGCCCACAGCTAACAAGATGCACAGCACTGGAGAGGATATGAGGTGATCTGGGAAACTCCAGGGAAGCCCTGAGAGATTCATCATCTTCATCCAGAGTCCCATCTGTGGAGGAGACCACCACCAATGTTGTGCAATGCTTGGGGGAACCATTAAGAGCGAAGGGGCAGGAGAAGATCTGGGCTTCAGTCTGGAACTGCCACAGTAGCGTCCTGTCACTGCTGTTCATACAAAAACACACAGCCATCAAGTGACCCACGTTCCACCCTTGTGTAAATCGTAACTGCTGGTATCTGTGACAGGAAGTGTTATGCATTTTGTATGTTCTACTGGATAACACAGTATTTCTGATATTGCACAGGTTTACAGTACACAGCACCAAGCTGTTGTATGTCGGACATTAAACTGCTGAAGTACCTCCACACCATCGCCATCTTTTTACCTTATTTATCCAGTGTCTCTTTTTATAAAAAGATGCTGTGGCTGCTGGGTTGTCACTTTCTTCACAGACACTGGAAACTTCCTTTGAGAGAGGCAAACAAGCAAATAAAAACTGACAGTTTGGATTACATAGACATGATATTGAGAACCTGATTATGCTGCTGTTGTTAATTTTAGATGTACATTTAGGTTGTTATGGTTGTCATTAAAAAGGTTAGCTTAACGATGGGGACACATTCTGAGAAACAAGCCATTAGGTGTTTCTGTCACTATGTGAACATCATAGAGTGCACTTGCACAAACCTAGGTGGAAAAGCATGTTACTGTACTGAACTGTACCTGTACACCACATTACTGTATTGCACTGTACCTATACAGCATATTATTGTACTGCACTGTACCTGTACAGCACGTCACTGTATTGCACTGTACCTATACAGCATATTATTGTACTGCACTGTACCTGTAAAGCACGTCACTGTAGTGCACTGTACCTGTACAGCACGTTACTGTATTGCACTGTACCTGTACTGTACCTGTAGCATGTTACTGCACTGTACTGCACTGTACCTGTACAACATGTTACTTTACTGAATACTGTAGGCAATTGTAACACAATGCTAAATAGTTGTGTATCTAAACATAGAAAAGGTACAGTAAAAATATGCTATAAAAGATAAACAGTACTCCTGTATAGGGCACTCACCATGAAGGGAGCTTGCAGGACTGGAAGTTGCACTGGGTGTGAAAGCCTAGGACACCACTGTAGACTCTAAAAACACTGTACACTTAGGCTGCACTAAATTCATAAAAATACTTTTCTTTCTTCGATAATAAATTAACCTTAGCTTACTCATTAAAAAAAAATAATAATTAACTCTGGTGATCACGGCGTGAAACACAAATGCACTATACAGCTGTACAAAAATATTTTCTTTCTTTAAATCCGTATTCTGTAAGCTTAATCTATTTAAAATTTTTATTAATTATTTTTACTTTTAAATTTTTTTGTTAAAATCTCCAGCTCCACATCTTGTCCCAAGTCCTCAGCAGCACTAACTTGCATGTAGCTGTCATCTCCTGCGACAACAATGCCTTCTTCTGGAAGACCTCCTGAAGGAGCTGCCTGAAACGCTTCAGAGGAGCTGCCACTCATTTCATAGGTATGTCCGTGGTAGTTTGCTTGGCCTGTTTCTTTTTTTCATCATAGATTTGCTTGTAAGCAGATAATGCACCATGAACATTCCTCTCTATTAATGAAAACCTTTTGGTGCTGGGATCCATTTTTTCAAACTTCTTAAGGAGCTTCTGGAGGTCTGCAAAAGCTTCTGCTAAACCCTTCACTGTGAATTTTCTTGGGGGTTGTTGTTCTTTTTCTTTTCCTGCAGTTTCCTTTTCTCTTGCCTCTTCATCAGCTATGCGTTCCTGTTCCAGTTCCAACAACTCCTCATTAGTCAGTTCTTCAGGACCCATCCCCAGGAGCTCCATGATATCGTCCTCATTGACACCCAAGTTGAAATTGTTTGTCATCTCAACCACAACCTTGGTGATTTTTGCAACCTCCTCATCCTTGGCAGATCCTTTGAAGTCATGGACAAACCTCTTGAGTGTCTTCTTCCAGATGCCAATCATACACTCCTTGGTGACATCACCCCAAGCCCAAGCAAGGTTCTTGATGCAGTCATAGATGTTGTAATCCTTCCAGAATTGCATCAGTCTCTTTTCAGTGTTTTCTTTGGATGCAGCAATAGCCTGGGCGAAGGTCCTCCTCAGGTAGTAAGCTTTAAAAGCTGCTATAACTCCCTGATCCATTGGTTGGATCAAAGAGGTGTTGTTTGGAGGGAGAAACACCACTTTGATACTGGGATGAAGATCACCAATGAAAGGAGGATGTCCAGGAGCATCATCAATAATAAGCAATATCTTGAAAGGTATATTACTCTCCAAGCAGTACTTCTCCATTTCGCTGGCATAGCAATTCAGGAGGGCATCTTGGAAGAGAAGCTGGGTCATCCATGACTTTCTATTGCTCCTGTAGTACACTGGCAATGTGTGCTTATCGATATGTTTGAAGGCCCTAGGGTTCTTACTGTGCCAGATCACAAAGGGTTTCAGTTTGTAGCCGGCAACATTGCCCCCAAGCAAGACTGTTATCCTGTCTTTAAAAGCCTTGAAACCTGGCTTTGACCTCGCCTCCTTATGGATGGAAGTCCATTCTGGCATCTGTCTCCAGAATAGGGAGGTTTCATCCATATTGAAAATTTGCTCTGGCAAGTAATTTTCCTCCACAATTAGCTTATCCAGAGATTCCAAAAATTCCTCAGCTGCCTTCACATCAGCGCTCGCCGACTCCCCACTCACTTTCGCATTTTGTAACGGATAACGATTTTTGAATCGTTTAAGCCACCCAGAGCTAGCAGTAAATTCAACATCATAGTCGGGTCCAGCCTTTTCTTTCAACATTGCAAACAAGCTTTTTGCTTTGGCCGTGATCATCATGGTGCTGAGTGGGACGCGCTTCTGTGTCTGATCTTCGATCCAGGTCATTAGAAGTTTCTCCATGTCTGATATAGGACCTTCCCGAATTTTTGTTAGTCTCGTTGTTTTCAATGAAGCAGATCCTTTAACAGCTTCTGTCACTTTGTTCTTGTTTTTCAATATTGTAACTATGGTGGAATGGGACATTCCTGTCTGGCGAGCAATAACCATCACTGATTTTCCACCTTCGTAGTCTTTAATCAGTTTTATTTTGGTTTCCAGGTCAATCACTCGACGTGGCCTCTTACGTCCAACATAAGATGTGGGCTTTGCACGCTTGGGGACCATAATGAAAAAAAAAAGAGATTAAATGAAGCACAAGGGAAAACAATGCAATCAAGAGACACGGTAAGCATGACATGAAGCTGATGCTGGCAGCAGTTTTACAGTAAACTTCTTTATATAAGTATAAAGAATACACTAAGATAAAATGTACAGTACAGTAAATACATAAACCAGTAACATAGTAATTATCAAGTATTACATACTTTTATATGAGCAGCAGTGGAGTAGGTTTGTTTAAATCAGCGTCACCACAACACTTGAGTAATGCTTTGCACTACAGCGATATGGCATATTGACTTGCCTTTCCCAGACAGACTCTATTGGTAAATAAGTTCTTTTTTGGCAATTGTTTATTTTTGGGTAACTTTTGAGGTAAACATCACAATATGAATTTTTCCAATATCATTCAGTCCTGGTTTCAAGGATACATTTAATGTTTTAAGTCATCCTTTTGCAGCAATGAGTGATGTTTTATTTTGTATGAAACAAATTCATGGAATTGATTGTGTTGTTAAAAATAAATTACCATTTGCCATTACTGTGCAAGACTACTGCAACTGATTTATCAGTTTCATTTAATGCCAAAAAAGTGTCCAGCTCCATACTTTTGTAGTTTGAAATGGAAATAGTAACATTTGTGTATGTAAAGCATGAATTGACTGTAAAGAAAATGCAAAACTGTCATCGCAGCAATGGAAAGAGGGGTGATATGGCAAAAATTTACAACTAAACGACACAGAAGTAGATCACTCTAATTTTATTTAAAATTCAACACACCAGTATGGTTGACGACAATGTCTAATATAACAGATGGAATATTTTACATGCATGGTTCTCTGTACATTGTGCTGTGTATATATAGGAATATATTTAATGCAGTTGCAAACCAATTGGGACCAAAAGAACTTGGCAGCAATTAGAATGAAATTCAAAAACAATTCCAAATAGTAGGAACATTACTGCACATTTGTAATTAATTCCAACATTTGTCTAACTGTTGACTTTAGCTAACGGGTAATACTCATTTTGGAGGGAGGGAGGGATGGATGGAATTGGAGTTGCTTGTCCCCCAGTACTTTTAATGTAATTGACACTGACTTTTGCATGTAATCATTGGTCTCTTCCCAGGTAACAATGATGTTATTGGTCAAACAGGTCCTCCTACCACAATAGAGCCTTATGCTTTTATACATGAATGAATATTTCTCAGATTTGTCTGATAGTGCCAAATACGTAAATTAAAGCACTTATTACAGGAAGAAGAGGAGGAGCCATATCAGACTTTGAGAGGACATACTGGGAGGACGGCGGAGATATAGGTTCATGCATGAGTATTTTGCACGTCAACAGTCCTATCTGATTACAGTGGTACCTCAGAACTCGAAATTAATCCGTTCAGAACTCCGGATCGAATCCTAAAAAGTTCAAGTTCTGATCGACTTTTCCCCATAAGAAAAAATGGAAAACCAATTAATTGGTTCCCGGTGTTCTGTCATAAAATACTATCTATCGAGACGTGCTATCGAGCCATTCTGCGCATGTGCAGTTCCACCGTCTTGGGATTAGGGTTAGGTTTTAGGGGTTAGGGTTAGGGTTAAGGCAAGGGTTTTAGGGGTTTTGGGGGGTTAGGGTTAGGGGAAGAGTTAGGGTTAGGGCTATCAATTAGCACTACGGTAGCATTTTTCGACAAGGCAGCATATATCGACAGAACACCGGCCCCAAAAAATTACACCGAAATATGTTTTCTTTTTGTTTTTTTTAGCATTTAAACACAAAATGAACCGGACAAAACAAGAAAAGCATATCCTGTACTAAACACATCTAAGCACATTTATCAAAATAGTAATTTTTAAAGTAAGAAAATAAATGTATCCAAACAATGTGTCCTGCCCCAATCGTCCGCTCCTTCCGTGTGCCACGCCCCCTCGTTAACCCCGTGTGGAATCCCCTTGTGATCAGCTGTTTCTGGTTGTTGTCATTAATCCTCTGTATTTCGTCCGCGTTTCAGTTTGTTTCCCCAGTCCGGTCATTGTATTGTCCGTCTGCGTTTTACCTGCCTTACCTGCAATTAAACCCCGTATTCCCCGATACCCTGATGTCTGCGCCTTTGTCTCCGTTCTGTCCCCGCTCGGCACAACAATATTATTATAATTAAACGTATTAATGGTTTAATTATTAATATTAAAATAATGAATAAGAAATCTTTATTTTTAAATGTATTTTATTATATAATAATTACTGTCACTATCATTGTCTAAATCTATTTTTACTGTCTAAATATATATATTCAGTTAGTGTAAACATGCACGGTGCTATCACAGCTAATGCAAGGCTGAGACTGAAGTTTTACCCTTTGTTTCTGCTGAGAGACGTGCCCCGCGCCTACAAGTTATCTTAGGTCACCGTTCATGGTTTTACTTCTGAGATTCAGATCGAGCTCTAGGTAATTTTTTTTTCAAACTGGTTGGTTCGACTTTTAAGAAATTCCAGTTCTAAGGAGTTAGACAACTGAGGTACCACTGTACATGGTCCATCTGGAGAAGCAAACCAAGTGTGTTATCTCCAAATGAAGCATACTAATCTTTTAAAAAAGAAAAACTAGTTTAGACATTGAACTGCTTAATACAAGGTAAAATACATTTACATTTATATTTATATTTATGGCATTTGGCAGACAATCTTAGCCAGAGCGACTTACATAAGTGCTTAGAAGTTTCATCAGTGAATACATTCTGATACTGGTTCAATAGAAATTAGAAGTGAATTGTACGGTTATTAAACATGGCTGACTCTTACTTGCTGTGAAATGATCAAGACGTTTGTGTGTGTCATTTTATGTGCAAGCAATAAAGAGCACATGAATGAAATTGTAGTTAGTTTGTTTTTATTTCATTTATAGTGATGATTGTAAGTAATTGAGAAACATGCTTATTTGCAGACACTTCTGGGAACTCTGGAAGAATGTGAGATCCATCTAGGCATTAAATGATATTAGTGGATCCTGCGACATATAGATGATATTTATTGTGATAATCTGTTCAATGTCGTCAGCAAAAAACATTTCTCTAATAAATAGCAAATTTGGTAGAACTTTCCTTTATTTCTCCTCAGAGGTATTAAACATTATTTCATGCTACTGTAATTGATGTATTAGTTAATTTAATGCTAAAAAAGTGGTGGGGGGGGGACACAATTTTCTGACCTTCATACACCACAAAGTCCCAAGTGTAGCCACACAAAGAAACTGCCAAAACACAAAATCTGTAACCCCATTTTTTTCACATACTGTTTTTCGGCTATTTGTTGCTTTTGATGCTGCTACCATTCTCTCATCCACCGAAATGTTCTGCCAGGGATGAAGGAAAGTCTTGCAGGCATCTCTAATCTGTGTATGTAGGGATTTTATCCTTCCTATTCTGTCAAAACCAAGTGTTCCCTGTTTTTTTGTCATTTTTTGCATCAAGACTGATGTCATTCAAATTCAAGATCTGCAGAAATCTCCTGCATGACATTATTTGTAGCGAAAGTGGAAAGCTGTACAGTTTGGACCTCCTCCAATAGTCTGTCAATATGGAGCGTTTTATGAGTCCCATGTAAATAACAACTACAGCAAATAATAGCAGTTCGGTTATAGTGATGTCGCTCCATGTGTTCTTCTGGCCCCATAGGCATCACTGTGGTTGAAACTTCCTTGGACAACATCAGCAAAAAAGAAGAGCTGAAACAACTGTAATGCGGTGCAATTGGTCATTGAAGTCAGCTGTTCTTGCTGGCTTGAAGCCTGGGTGTTGTGGCTCTTCATCTGCCTCATCAGCAGTGTGCCATCTCATTTCAGAGGTGCCAAAGAAAGCAATGCGTGCAGACTGAGGCTTCCTCCCTCTGCCCCAACCCCTGGTACCGTGGGTAGCATGTATGGCTTTTTTTCCCTTTGTTTTTAGCTGAGTGCTGGGCTCTGGATCCCAATAATCATCAGATGAAGGAATACTGCACAGTAAAATTATAGAAAAATATATATCATTCAAGACCGGTAAAACCACCCATATCTGAATGCTACAATTTCAAATACACAAATTATGCTGCATTTCATTTGTACTCTGAAGTTGGAAATTGAGTTCCTAGTCAGAAATTTCAGCTAAAATGCCACCTGAATTTGCAATTCTGACTTGGAAAGTCGGAAGAACTTCTGCAGCCCCGACTGCACCCTTTATCCTCAGAAGCTAAAGCTGTAGTTATATGCTGTGTATTAGCACTTATGTCTTATTTGTGCTTCATTAAATCAGTCGTGCAGACAGTACTGTCCCACTGCTATTCGTGGATGTGTTGCTGCAGTGTTAGTATGTGCAAAATTCCACGTAATGAGTCGTTATCAACTTTTATTGCTAATAATGGCCAACAAAGAACTTTCTTAGAACTGGTGCCCGTTTCAGAAAGCAGGATTTCTTGCTTTAGCCAGACCCAATAACTTAAGGCAGTCTGAGCAAAATGTAAGTGAACGAAGATAAAGGCCATTTAAACTTAAATCCAAAGTTGTAGAAATACTGCTTTTTGAAACAGGTCCCTGGTATTACTAAATCACTTTCAAACTACTTCTGCTGGAACATGGTTAGCTCAGGCATGGTGTCATTCCCAGCTCCGACTTCCAAGGTAAATGGAACACAGCATTAGTGCTGGTTTACAGTCAACACACACAAGGCATTTGCATCATGGATGCCACACGTTTTCCACACGGATCCCACGTGTCATCTGTACACCTACGTGAGGAATTAATGCTAGAGGTACCAGCGATGCAGTATGGTCACATTTTGTCACAGGACTATGTGCTTATATATGGTATAGTTAGTATTACAGTAGTTTTTTTTTTTAAGAATGAGTGGCTGGAAGATATTCAAAACTTAATATTTTCAGAGGCAGGAGAACAAGATCAAGGTAATTCAAGTTTCTTCTGTGTCCGAATTCAATCTGAGCTAAGAGAGCAGTGCCACATGTACTAAGCACAGTGTACAAAAGTACAATGAAATTCTTACTTGCTTAGCAACATTATAATAATAAAGTTCCAGTATAAAAAAAATCTGCAGAGTGGGAGTTTTTACGCTTCGCTAGAATATTTATGTTACAGGAAACAAAAGTTCGTAAGTTTTGCAATTTAATTTGATGACCGTTCCTACAAGATTATCTAGTACACGTTTAACATTAAAATCTACCACTGCTACTCTTGCATGAGCTCTGCATGCGCTCTAATTTTCATCTTTGCTGTTTAAAATCACTCAGTCATTTGTAAGATTTATTTTGAACTCCTTTTTGCTTTATAAATAATGCAATATTTATCACAAAAATTATTGATTTTTTCAATATTGTACAGCCATAAAACTAAGTACAAAATACTGCTACAAGATATTTAACAACATAATAATTCAACATGAGGTAGTAAAGTGATATGTGATAAAGTACCAATATGAAGTGGAGCAGTGGCTAGAATATAGAAAATGTTGCTGTAGTATTAACAAAATTCGTAAATTTCATGCCACAACCTCATACAAACAAGGAGCCGACTAAGATGGTTCTCGCACTGCCCCCTAGTGGACATAGTTTACATCAATCTGGAGGATTAAAAGTTAAGTAGGAGCAACAGCACCTCATGCATAGTGACAACATGCATAAATGCAGGCATTGCATGCATAAATGCAGGCATTGCATGCATAAATGCAGGCATTGCATGCATAAATGCAGGCATTGCATGCATANCATGCATAAATGCAGGCATTGCATGCATAAATGCAGGCATTGCATGCATAAATGCAGGCATTGCATGCATAAATGCAGGCATTGCATGCATAGAGTACAAACTGCACTTTGGTAGAAGAAAAGTAGCAGTGAAATGGCCACACCCGGTCCACACTAGGTTCACACCTTTTCTCTGACTCTCCCTTATCAGTCTGCAAAAAGAACCCACAGTGATGATAGTTTTTACTTTTTACCACTGATTTTGTCTACAGTTCTGACTTTTGAACATTATTTGAATATGCAGTATTTATATATAATAGCATTTACATAATACATAAACATACCGTTTCCATTCATAGATTGGATTTGGCTATTTTCTCCTATGTGCAAACATTATTCCTAGCAACCTCACTGCTTATTTATTAGTGAGTCAAAGTATCAAAGTATGAATACAGGCAGTTCCTGGATTAAGAACATCTGACTTATGGACATCGTACTTAGGAACAGACTGCCCTAAAGCCTATTATTATAAAAATCAGATTAAATACGATGGATAATAAAAAATAAAAAACATTACGTGGCTTCAGTGGTTCATTGGCTGAAGGTACAGCACTGTCTGTAGGTACTTTTATTACTACTATACAGAGGTTCCTCTATTTATGGATGAGTTACGTTCCAAATGGTCATTCGCAACTTGAAATGTTTGTAAATCATTATTCAACATAATTTTAAGGGCATACGCAAGTACAAAGAACTAGGATGCT